TCTCTCTCTCTGTTTCTCTCTCTCTGTTTCTCTCTCTCTCATTGAAACAGTTTCCTCTTTCATATTCCGGGTTTTAGGTCAGAGGACAAGATCTGAATTTCGGAATATAAAAGAATCTAAAGAATAATGTTTCATCCCATAATACTACAGCAATTTTTTTATTTCGCTTTTATAAGTAGCAGTTTCAACTTTATCATTATCATTGTCATCATATGAAGAAATTATCAGTGAAAGAAGAGAAAATGATAAGAGTGTAAATACAATGAGTACATGGGAATGCACACATGAATTAGAATGGTTGAGTGATTAATTGAAGATGGATTTTAATTCCAAATGTATAAAAATAATTGTATCTGAGCTGTCAACTACAAATGCCTCGATCTGCTCGACAGTCGGCTCCAACCACCGCCATAAATAATAGTCCATTTTGGCATACGCATAATTGATATTGGGCATTCCCTCGAGCATCACTTTTCGGTAATCCAGACATCACTATACTCCTTGATTCGAGACGAACTTCACCCTGCAACATCTCTTCATATCGTCAAAGAACAGAAATATTAGGTGAAAGAGCAAAGAGCAGTGGCCAGAAATGGTATTTGTTAATGTTTGATGATTAACATTAACTGACCTGTTTGGAATTTATGGTAATGTCAAGAAGTGATGACAGTTGAATTTCACCAGCTGCACTGGTAATTTCAATATCTTGACCTGCTTCTAGATTTAGATTTCTAGTTGGTGATTCCAAGCTAGAAAATTTTATTCTAAATACAATGAACATATTTCTATCATTATTACTTCATTAGTTAACTCCCAATTCCTCAATTAATGCTTCTTCCCAACTACAACTAAAAGTCGATGTACGACTTTACGAACTTCAAAGCTTATTATCATTACCTCAAAGTTAAACATAAAATTTACTGTACCATTCTGTTCGTTTTTATTTTATTAAATAGCTTTATTAAATATAAATTAGGAAATTCAACTATATTAGCTTACAATATCTGAAATGTTAATAAGCAAACCTTAGTGGACTATCAGATTCCGGACGAATGAGTGCTGTTTGTATGGCTCCTTCGAAAACACTTCCGCCATCATCTGAGGTTCGTGTTGAATATCGTTTTTTTTTTTAAGCAAATTAGGGTTAGACGTTTTCAAACCATACAAATATAGTAAATGAATGAAATGGCCGTTGGTCGAAAAAAGTTTCGAATTTATAACTTAAAAACTGCATGAATACATACCAAGTATTCGAAGATTTTCAAGTTTAAGGCCAATTTCGTTTGATTCAGCAAAAAATAGCAATTTTCTGGAATTGTCATAAATTTCAAAACGATCACATACTGCCTCCATACGCCCATCTTGAAGTATATTGAACATTGCAGTTTGATATCCCGACATATTTCGAGCTTTTATAAAGACACCGCGGTACGAATCGATTGTTAACGCTTCATTCTGTAATTCCATTAAATGTCTAATTTTTTTCATATTCGTAAGAAGTTACTGAATTGCGGATTATGAATTTAATATGAAATTAAAAAAAAATTTACATTAGTAACAAGCTACTATTCTATTATTCGAAAAGTTTTAAATGTTGTGTGAAATAAAAGAAGCTTCAACTTACATCTGTCGTAGAAAGCTCTGCAAAATGAACAGGACGATCAAACTGCGCTTCACCCATTATTCGAATCCTATCATCTTCAATTCTCATTGTACCCATTCCGGTCTACAGTATAATGTGAGGAAAATAATGTTTAAATGGATAAAAATAATATTATCCATCAAAAGTGTCAAATAAAACAAAAATAAAATCTGTCCACTTTTTTACCTTGACTTATACAATATTTGTATTTTTATTAAATAATTGTCTTATTTTTTTGAAATAGTCCCGAATACAAAGCAATATTTTTGATAGTAATGTGAAAAAATAACCGTGGAAATATCGAGAACAGACATAATCCATACAGTTAGTGCTAAATTCAATATGACGGCAACAGTAAGCGCGCAGATGAAACAATACAAACATCGCTTTCGCCAACCATAAACGCCAACTCTAAAATCGTAAAGACTACATCGATTCCATTCTTCAATCTATCAAAATTAATAATAATTGTAGACTGCTTTGGGTAACTAAAATATAACAATTACTATAAAGAAACACTTTTGTATTTGATCAAACAATTTAGCATGAATTTAGAGATTTCATTGATGAATAATCGATATAACTCCTCTCGATAGTTAGCTTCTAATGCTTACTCTTTTCAAAAAGATGTTAGTATGTTAATAAGTAATTAATCAGACTCTTAATAATTTGTATCATTTGATTTCAACTGTTAAATATATAAATTTATCTTCTCAATGGTTTATCAATGATTTCTGAGAAAAACTTGCTGCCTTTTACTATCTAGCAAATCGTTGTTTTACTTAAATGCTTATCTATTTCTTGCAATCCTAAATTACAATGTGCAACCATAACAGGTTTTATGTGAGTACCTGTAAATATCAGATTCAGTAGGTGGTTTAGCAGCAGAATGAATAACAGCGGTGGAATATGGTGGTACGATAGCACCTTGTAATGGTGGAGGTGAACGATTAAAATCATATCCGCTACGACTCCAAACTGGCTCCGAAGTTCGTTGATAGAGCGGAACACGATTGATCATATCGGTATTCATCTGAAAACATTTACTTTACTTTATCTGTGTAGAAGTTTGTACACTCTCTGTTACATTCTTGCAGACTTGTAACAATTCGTTTCAATTTTACAAAATAGAATACTGCAGACGGCAAATCATTCAAGAATTATCCAGTATGTGCAGTTTTCTCCTCTCCGAATTCATTTTCCTTATCACGTCATTTATTTGGCAGCACAGTAGCATTCTTCTCGCATCATTTGAAAATTTCTTGATGTGCAAAGAAATTGCAAAAATAGAAAAGTCAAAATTTTAAATCGATTTCTTTCATCCAAAACATGTGCAATAATAAACTTTATTATCCAGCATTACCCTACTTGATTTTCTATTTTAAGTCATATTCCAGAATTGAATAAAATAATAAGCTTTATATATTTACTAGAAATGAACAATTTGATAATTACTGGATGAAGATGAATAACAGATATGGAAAAGAAAAAGAGGATTTATTTATATCAAATCTTTTTTACGTAATTAAAAAAAAAAGAAAAATTGCAACATATGATGAGGGAAAGGAAGGAACATCACATCCATTAGCTACTGATAATTAATCAGCGATTAAATGATTCATTTAGAAAGAAATCAAAATCACTGAAATTGAACAGAACAAATAATTTCAAACTAATAATAAACGATCAAACTATTTAATACATAATTAATAGTAACCCAAAAAAATGTCATCTAGCAATTATTTGATGAAGAATGATATATTTTAAAGTAATAACTTTATCCTAGTTCTAGAATATACTTCTACAGATGATGAAAAGGGATGTTGCTAGAAGGTCATAAATTTTGTAGCAAGAAATTTATGCTATCAAATAATAATAAATGATAAAAATAGATGATCGATGTTAATTTTTACTAATTGCACATAAATAAGATAAGGAAAGGGATATATTTATAATATATATTTTAAAGCAGTTAATTGATGCTACTAACACTCGAGCCTTCTCTATCTTCCAACTCTTCCTGCTCTATCATTTTTATTATCATAGTTCGCTCTTTAGTCTGCTTTTCACATTTACATCCCTTTACACATTGTTGCCGTTATTTTAGTTAGCTTAGAACTTCTTCCAAGTTGAAAATTTAAACAGCACCTTCTATCTCTCAACAGCTGCTGCTTCTGGCTGAACAACGGATAATGATAGCAGTGATATGAATGACATTACATCATTTCGTCAGGTACAGCTGGTAATGCATCGAGAAATGCTACCTGAAAAGTAATGCATATATGATTTTGTTCTTATAATTTGATCTGATACGGTTTTTTTCTTAAGGCTAATTAATAGTGAGTTATACAAAAGCTAGAAATTACTGTAAAATAAAAATATAATTTTCAAATCAAAATATTTTGAACAAATACAAACATTTTAGTTATGTGATAAGATCAATATTAAATGAAATGAATGAAATGCAGCAAGCACTTTTTTCCTCTGATAATATGTTATAATATTGTTGGCGATAAAATTTAAATTTTATATCACAAAAAGTTACCAGTAATTTTGCATGTATTACGCAGCACTAACGACGATAAATGTTTTCTGCTAAGATTTATCAATCAAATCTTTAAAGCATACTTGTATTTAATATTTTTTTTGACTAATTATGTCATCATTTCATTATACAATTATCTATTTTTCATTGATTTCTTTGATTATCAAGAAATATACGGACTTTTAATTTAATACAATTTCACTAGCCAAGGAAAAAATTCAAGCTAATCGGTAAAAGAAATGATTTGTTTCGAATCATTACTTAATCACTCGATAGTAAGTTCAAAGCATTTTCTGCCCTCTGGTATAAAAGTTGTTGATTTACTGTCAATTTAAAAAATAAATTAAAGTTTCAAAAAGATGGTACCGAAAATATCACTAAATACATCAATTAAAAGTAGAATTTTCAAAAAAATGTAAGCTGGATGGAAATTTTTATTAATTCATTAAAAGAAAAGAAATGAGAAGAACAGGGAAAGTTGCTGAAGTAATAAATTTAATGAAATCATTCCCAACAGTCTATTCAGAATCGCTTTGATTATAGATTTAGAAGATGTCGACTACCGACAAATTTGCTTTTAAAAAACCGTTTTCCACAAGTACAAGAAAATATTCTCATCTTTATTATGCTAAGCTGAATCATGAAACGCAGATGGTAATTTATTTAGAATCAAAGACCTATTAGTACGAATATTCATTTTAAAACCAAGGAATCATCTTTTACTGATAATTAGCGGAAAATTGGGATCAAAAGATAATAGTAGTAAAAGTCACGATTATTAATAGAAATGTTTCATTACTGAAGTTCAATATAGCTATATAATCTATGCTGAATGTTATTTCTTTTGCATTGATTTATTGAGAATCAGTATACTCTGCAATCAATAATCCATGATTTTTACTGTAATCATATTTTCATTCAATTTTCATTACAATGATAGTGACACTATCAAATCTTTTTGAGTGGATTTAAATTATTGTGTAAAATTATAAGTATAAATATATATTAAGTAAATAACATTAATATAAGCATTGGAAATAATATCTTAGTTCCGAGTAATTAAAAATAATAGTGAATATATCAGTATATATTTATCAGCGAATGATACACAATGATATTATCCAACTGACGTTCAGTAATGCTATGTAACATTGATAGATGGTATGTGGAGATGTTAATAACTTCTGGCAATAAATTTTAAAAATGAAATTACTTCCATCATTCTTCCTGACTTTATCGTTAGTGGAAGTGATGTACATTGAAAAATCTACGAGTGAGAATAAAATAATCATAATGATCATCAATTGTAACTCAATGAATATCATCGTCACTCAGTGCTACCTTAGATTTAGCGAACCTTTCAAAACTGAGGTGGTTCAAAGGTTACGGGTTGGTAGTGGTATTGAAGGATAGATCTCTCAGGAATACTAAAGAGTACGTCTCCCGAGAATTCATTTCTAGTAGTGTTCTTAGAAATAGTATCTCTTGGACAGGATCCATCCGTTTTATTATGTCCTATTTGAATGACTTTCTGTGAGGTTTCTGGGCACTAATAGAGATAATGGTGGTGCGTTTTAATACTATTTTTACATAATAGATTATCCTTCGAAAGGGACGGTTAATTTCTAAGCTATGAACCTGTGGAAGAGATTTTTCTCGTTTAAGACAGAAAAAAATTGATTTTTTTAAATTAATGGTTTTCTGTTGCAATAATTCATACTGTTTTTTTTTATTGCTGAAATTTTCCAATTTTAAATTCTTTTCTAGTCATTATGGGTAAAGCTAAGTTAAAGAGCAAAGATGCACCAAGGAGAAATGGCAGTATGCAAGGTGAGAATTATGAGAAATATCTTTTCAACAATTATGATGAAATAAAGTAGTACATGCGGATCTTTTATTTTTAAATTACAGCTCTTCCATTCAATACTGATCGTGGACAGCATGTTTTGAAGAATCCGGGAATTGTTAATGCCATTATTGAAAAGGTTGATGCGTTTCAACATTTTGATATGTCTCTGAAAATAATTGCATAAGATTGGAAACAAAATTACAGTGTTTATTTCTGTAATAAAATGCTTTGCATAATAGCTTTGGGACTTTTCCATGATCATTTTGTAAAAATGAATTATTTCGAGAAACAAAAAGGAATAATATCAACAATAAATATATTGGCTTAAGGCATGTTATGGATTCCTTGAATTTGAAAAACTATTCAAGTATTTTGCAGTCAGCAATCAAAGCAACGGACACTGTTTTTGAAGTCGGGTCTGGTACAGGTAATTTGACAGTTGCGCTGATGGCAAAAGCTAAAAAGGTGATCGCATGCGAGATTGATCAGAGAATGATCGCTGAACTAAAAAAGCGAGTGATTGGAACGTGAGTGATTTTCTCTACAGAATCGTCTGACTCATAATTGTTTTTGATCTTTTTTTGTCCATTTGTTTTATACAGGTTTTTTCCAGCTGTTTTATACATGTGAAATTGATTGAGTGTAATCTAACCCTCATTCTGACGCTTACAGATCATATCAGCAGAAACTGGAAGTGAAGCAAGGAGATGTGATAAAAATGGAATGGCCTTTTTTTGATGTGTGTGTTGCTAATCTGCCTTATCAGATCTCATCGCCTTTTGTATTCAAGATGTTATTGCAGCGGCCCTTACCTCGGTAATTTTTAAATTACTATGTTCTTAGGATCGGAAGACAGCTAGTTGTTCTATCTTTTGAACAGGTTTCTATAATTAAAATATGGTGTGAAATTTCAGTTTTATATAACATATTTCAGATATGCTGTATTAATGTTCCAGAAGGAGTTTGCAGATCGATTAATAGCAAAACCTGGCAGTAAATTATACTGTCGATTAAGTGTGAATGTACAATTCCTCGCACAAGTAAGCATTTTTATTTCATTTCTTTGGAATTACGCATCTTCATGATTAAATTACTTTCCTTCATTTTACAGTTGACTTGACTTTCGCAGAGTTGCAATTTAGTGGATATCGTATGACCACCCATTATCTAACACTACTAATTAGAACTTTTCTTGCAGGTGGAACATTTGATGAGGGTAAAACGAACAGAATTCCGACCACCACCAAAGGTTGATTCAGCTGTCGTACGCATTGCACCAAGAAATCCTCCTCCTCAAATCAATTTTCAGGTTGATTCCTAATCCGTAGAAAGTGTTCCATGTACAGAATAATAACCATAATTTGATAATATACAAGGATATGCAAAGGATATAACATAATTTAGATGTTCTGTATTTAAGAAGGCTTACGGATGTACAATTATGTAACTGCCGTGCACTTAAAAAAATACAACTTTTATATTTGCATCTAGCTTATGCTGGCGTATATTTTATTTCTGTGGTCTTAAACAGTGGGAACTTTAAAGTTATTAAATAAATAATAGCATTTTTTCTTACATACTATTTTGTTAAGATTTTCAGGAATGGGACAATCTGCTTAGAATCATTTTTCTCAGAAAAAATAAAACCTTATCGTCATTATTTAACAATAATCAGGTGTGTGGTTCACTGGAAAAAAGCTACAGAGCTCTTTGCAGTATCAAAAATAAGGTATGTTGATTTTGATAACAAAGAAATTATTTAGAAATAAAGTTTTTCACTGTTAAGGTCAGCTGTTAGAAATTTGTTTCTAGGAAATTGAGAGTCAATTTAACATGAAAGACAAGATGGAGCACATTATCACCGAAAGCGGTTTTGCATCAAAACGTGCAAGGCAGATGGATATAGAAGACTTTCTCTCGTTATTGCTAGCCTTTAATAAGGAAGATATACACTTTGTTTAATGAACTAGCATTAAATATACAGCAGATATTGAACAAGTCAGGGGATCCTACATTATGATTGATCGGACCTGACAAATAAGTGTTCATTTTGTTCTGTGATACATATTATTTCTTGCTTTTTTTCTTTATTTATATTATAAAAGTTTTCGTTATTTTTCTCCATTATGAATTTCATTTTTATCAACTCATTTGTCACAAAAAATTGTTATTTGACGAACGACAAATGTTGAACTGGAAGTATCTAGTACGTCCATTACTACTATATCCTTGAATTCTAATGCTCCGTAGGTAGGCAACAATATGTACCGCTGAAGTGAGTAAGCAATCAAGTTACAGAATTTAATTTAGAGACAATACTTCATACAGAAGTTATAACGAGATAATAATAAACCGATCTTTGGCTTCCTTCACATCACTGGGATTTGTTTAACGGCAGCGAGCTGCTCCTGCTCGGGCGAATTCGTCTGCTTTTTCGTTTCCAAATATTCCTGAATGTCCAGCAACATGTTCGAAACGTACCTGGAATCACATAAACTAAATTACCCGATATCCACCGCATTTTTAGCTATCTATCGTATGAATATTTTAGACTGTTCAAGATTCAGTTGTTATGAAGTTCTCTAAGAAAACACAATATTTGCATTTAGTCAAGTAATTTAATTAACTGAAAAAATGCAACGAATTTTTCTTCCCAGATACACAAACACACAATAATATGCTATTGTAGCGTTTTTTTAATTCATTTGGAATATATATGTACCATTGACTCTTCAATGCTAATGTTATTGTGGTATTCACAAAATATCTACCAACATTTATGTTTTCGAGCAAATCACTCAACTGAGTAATGAGGTCTTGATTCTTAACAGCTGTACCATTCAATGTTTTCCAATCATTCTTTTGCCAGCGGTGAATCCATGAATTCATCGTTTGAATCAGAAGTTTGGAATCTGTACGAACAATAAGATGCTGATACCGTCGTTGGATTGCCTGAAGAGGAAGTAGGGTAACACTTATAGAAATTTGAAATACTAGATTTTCTTCCCGGCAAACATCAAAATTGAAATTTTATAAATGAAGATACCGTTTGTATAGCCCTTATGACTGCTGTAAGTTCGGCCCTATTATTCGTAGGTAGTCCATTAAGGAGTGGTTCGGAAACGTTATCGACATGCTGTTCGCCCCAATAAATTCCAATTCCAGCAGCAGCTCCAATACGACCATTGGAGAAACAAGCACCATCTGTATACACAACAGGAACTCCTTCCCATGTATTCTGCTCTTGAGAAGTTAACGATGAGCTAAAAAACCAATTTGATAATATTCATTTTTTACGAATTCATTTTTATAGGTATAAGAATTTGCCTTATTATGAATCGATTCCCTGAAATAATGAGCGCTAATACAGTGTCTCACCATATTTACCAACATTGTTCAAACACTTACCCTATTCAAGACTCTTGTCTTATAAATCTTCATTTGCCCATAAAAAGAATTTTATCGGTCAAACTTTCTATTTAATCCGTAAATTTATCGATATTTAGCTTCTGATCTTTCATTAAACAATGTGCAATGATGCATTATGGGTTTGCTAAAAGCTCTAAAAATCTGTAAAATTAACGATACACACATCTAGCTAGCTAATATTCAAAATCTAAACATAAAGTGCAAAACATACGACAGTAATTGCTGCAATCGTTTTCTTGAGGGCAATCCGGATTGCGAGCTTTTTCCATTTCCTATTCGATAAAAACGAATACGACACTCATATTAGCTTTTTTCATGCTATCAACTTTTAATTTTATCATTCCTGCTTTTCAGCACGAGCTACATGGGAAGAGTTCCAGATATAACACCAATATTTGCTTTTTTGGTATCGCCCTTTTCTTTCAATATGAAAGGATTTTTTGTTACTGTTTTATCGAATAAAATTGAAGTTTATACCTGTACGGCCAGTGGTGCTGTTTTGCAAAATGAAAGCAATCGCATCATTTTGTGTAGCGAACTTTTTGTACCTAGAAATAATATTACTGAACTATTTTCAGACTACCTTAAAAATTCTTAAATCTTCTTAAAGCATCTTTTGATTTACACAAAGTTTGAAATTAAGTAAATGAAAAAAAAATCATACCGCAGTTACTACTCAACTTTTTAGACAGTACTTTCTTAGAACTACATAAGATTTGCAGGAATAAAAGAGTTTTTCCATGATCTTATTGCCTTACCTAACTAATGATATATGCACTAATGATTATGACGCAATAACAACGTAATATTCATTAGTGTATATATCATTTTTAACAATTTAGATTAGAGGAGAAGCACCAGCCTAGCATTTTGATATCCTCTCACTTGTCTTTCACATTCTGGCCAACTTTTATAGATACCAGTGCAGCGACCTCGAGCAACAGCATAATAGCCAACTTTCATCTCTAATCTCTCTTAGGCATCCATTTAAAACGAGCTATCTTATGCGTTACATTCAAAATAGCAATCCTTAAATGACTGACTCTGAAACGAATATGCATAAACTTATTTTATACCACATAGAAAACCCAATGCTAGGACATGGTTGACGAAGATGCACACCGCATTGGACCGCAATCAAATTACCCCTCCTATAAATGCAATAAGGATACCAACCTGAATGATTGCAAAAACTCCCGGCTTGGATAGAAAAACTAATATCTTTATCATTTACTCTAATTAGTTAAACTAATTAGTTAAACTGAAAAGATTCAGAAAGCATAATTTGGAAATCCAGATTTTTATGTTTTTAGTGGGACTTTCTAACACTTGATTAGTGACAGTATAATGTATATCAACTGGTACCCAAAACAGGTTACTTTGTGATAACAATCGGTTGAGATTTTGGTAAAAAAATTTATCTAACAGTAACAAATGTTTTCCAATGAGAAGAAAAAAAAATGAATTGAGAATTCGTAGAATATTTACCGTTAATGACAATTGTTTGATATTCCACCAAATAAATGTACCATAAAAAACTGATTAAGAAAAAGAAAGAAAAGTGCAAAATATTCTGCTGTAATCAAGTAGATAAAATGCTAAAACACGACTGCATTAAGGAAAACAAGAAAAGCAAGTGCCAGTAGGTACAAAAAGCTTGGATTTTCAATTCGTGATTCTCTTTGATTTCATAGAACTAATAAATTTTATATGGCTAAAAAAATTTTGATAAACTTTTGATAAAAATGCAGGCAAAAAAATTAATATGTTTATGAAAGAGAGGTTACTAAGGGCAGCAAAGATATATAAAAACAAAGCCGAAAGAGAAAACAGAACTAATGATATTACAAAATTATCTGTGGAAACATTACCAATTTCTACACAATGAATTACAGAACCCGTTGAAAAAAAAAACAAGCCTTTAGAATTAGAAACTTTAGTATTATTACATTTACAAAATCACAAATACCAACAAAACCTACCGAAAACAGTATCTGGATGTAAAATAATCGCATCAATGCAATGTAAAATACAAGAACTCCTTCTTTTTCAGACATCTGCTTTAGTTTCTTTTTTCGCTGATTTCTCCTCGACACCATCTGTGACATCATCTGAACTATGAGCCCTCTTACGATCTTCTACAATTTTCAGATGCATTTTAAATCCGGAGAAAAAATGATAATAAAACATACATTGAAACTAATCAAAACTGGACGTCTTCTACAATAATTAAGAAAAGGAGAACACAAGTTACCTTTAATAAATAAAAAATGATAATAAATCGCTATGATAAATCGTTCAAGTCGCTTAAGACGATTACCTGCTTCCTTTATGTTTCTGCCTTCAACAAACAACGTCGCATCTTCTTCATTGTCAAACTTCTTGAATTTGGCACCTTTGAAATCCTTCGTTGCTTCCTGGCATTCTTCCCATGTTTTAAATACACCAGTTATATGGCCATGTGCCACAGCGTAGAATGATGGTTCTTTGCTATTTTGCTGAAATTTACTAGAAGAAAGTAAATCTGATATTAAAATCATTCAGATACAATGACAACACATTATTTCAAGGACAAAGAGAACATAGGAAGCATTATCATGTATTTATTAATCAAGCAAGAATCGATGTTATCCTCGCCTCTTTCTTCTCTTCCGTAATTTCCGTCTCTTTTACTTCTTTCTCATTGTTATCCGCCGGTGTATTATGTGCTTTTGATTCTGAAATTACTAATTACATGCTCGATTTAACAGTCATTTTGGCACCATATCATTAAATCATCCTGCTCTCTTCCTTTTCTTTTCTATTTCTTTTCGTTTCCTCTACATAATTCCATTTTGTGAAGCCAATGGTTTGTTTCCTTTGTAATTGTCAGCAATTTAGTGATCCACATTGTTTGAATGCCACTTGTCAGTATTCAATCCATAAGAGTAATGACGACATTATGCAATTATTCTTTCAGCACCAAGCTATATCGCGCCAAATTATTTTTTATGAATTTCGATAAATTAAAGTCATCATAACTGTTCTGAAGCAGTCGTAGAATGTTCTGAAATCACATTACAGAATGCTCCCAAAACTGTCAAATCCTAGAGAAAATATAAGTAAAAACAAAACCTTTTGGATTACCATCCTCTTCTCCATTCGAATATTTCTTATAATAAGCTTTTGCTTCATCCAGTTTTTCGAATTTTTTGTACAATGGCTGAGGATAATCGGCTATCTGGAATATTCTTGTATAATTTTGTTACAGATAAACTGAGATCATTTTAAAATTTCTATTGGAAAAACAATATAGAAAGGAACTCTTCATTCAATTTAAATAATAACAAAAATATTTCTCTCACATGATTCTTAACTTCATTGTAATCTGTAAATATTCCTACAACTTTTCCTCGAGCAACTGCATAAAATTTATCTGCTTTCTCATCCACTTCCACTGAAATTGCTTTTAAAGCATGAATAAGAGAATCATTTGCAACTCATTCATAATATTATTAAAGTAACTTTTGAAGCTTATAAACATCAAAAATATATAAAGTTGATCCAAATGAACGATGAAAGATTATTCTGAAAAAGTATTTTTTGCATTAAATAATTGATCATTCAATTATAGGTTACTGCAAAAATTCGATAAAATAATCTACAAAAAGTTAACTGACAACCAACATGAAACCCTTTCCGGTCGTCGGGCATTCACATATTCCTCAGCTTCCTCTTTTGTAGCAAATTTCTTATAAACTGGTTGAGGAAAATCTTTTATCTGGAAAACTGAGCTAAATCTACCATCAGTGTTTTGGGATTTAATTAATTATAATGAAGAAAAAGCCATAATAAATCAGAAAAGGTGCACCAATAGCTTCAGTGGTTCGAAGAAAATCGATTAATATTGAATATCTCATTAACCTCTAACTTTTCAGTCAACAACATCCTATTCAAAGTTAGGATAAGCCATATTCTGAAAATGCCATGTAAGATCTTTTTGAATAGTGACAACTGTCAGAAAACAAGCCTGTTCCTGTACGTCCGCCCATTTTTCATAAACACCTGGTTTCTTGCCATGTCCCACTGCGTAGAAACTATGTTCAGCCATTACCGTTTACCCAGAAGTTTTCAAGTAAAATAATACTTCTCAAGTTATCTATAAATAAAAACGAGAAGTACAACGCAACTATAAATGATTCATTGATCTATAAATGATTCATTCTTCCAAGTGAAAATGACACGTTCACTGATGCAAAAGAGAACAAATGTAATTTCATAAATATTTTTCAGATGTAAACATGTGAAAATTATAAATCTAATATTCACAACTGATACAGTTATATAGCCAATCTTCCAGAATCAGAAATTTACGCCATTTTATAATTTATAATCCAGAAATAAGAACAGCTCTTTCATTGTCCAAAGTTTTATATTTCAACAAGCATTTTATTACAATTTAAAAAAAACAGACAATTTAGATATAACAACACTAAATGAAATATTGATTGAGAAAGTGGTGTAGCAATTATGAGCATATGAATAGTTAGCCGTATAGCTCTCCACTAACCATACTTCACTCTGAACAGATCTAACTGATCTATTTTGATGATCTCAAAATTAAAAGAGAAGAAAAAAAAAGGACGAGGGAAATAAAATGAAATATTGACAATAATGAATCAACAATGTACAGCTCATCGCAAATAGAAATAATGCGAGAAAACGTTGTGGATACTGACAGCACAGCGGCAATAACAACAATTTCTGAAAAAGACTTTGGAATGGAATGGAATGGAACGGAACGAACAGCAACGAATGCTGCCATGCTGCCACGTCGTTCTTCCATTCTTTCAGCACCAACCAACGAACCCATCCTATTCATCCATCCATCCATCCATCCATCCTCTCACACAGCAATTCAATGCAACCAAAATGCGCTTTATACATGTGCCAAAATTCACTGAGTGTGCTCTCTTGAAGGAGATGGAAGTGAAAGGGACAGATGAATAATCAATCCATCTTTCAAATTTATAATACACAAAATTCTTCTTCATTCTATTTTATTGATCAGTTTTTTTTTCCTTCTGTTTCTAGCAATTGCAACAGAACAGAACTAATTTCATTTTTGAAATAAACAAACATCAAACTTGCAAATATTGCCTGCTTTTCACGTGCCACTATCATGCTTATTATCACGTTAATATCACCCCAACGCATGAACTCCTGAACTTTAACACTGCAACAAAAATTTTTCTTACTTTTTCTATAAAAACAATAACACAGTCTTACTTGCTTTCACATGTATCATTACGTTATCGGAGCAATGTATCACGTAGATCACGAAATACAACATAAGATGTGCTGCATGTTTGGTAATAAAGATTCACGTCCCTGACTCAATTGTTTCATTTCACTTATTCTGAAAGTTAAATAAACAGTATTATAAGTGAGAAAGAAAAGATGTTCATGAAGATGGCTTAAGCAAGCATCAAGTAAGAGCATGATAGATGAAAGTGAGGAGTGTTACTTCATTCTATCAGTAACACTGCCATAACTCAATATGGAATATTCAAATCTTAAGAAAATCAAATACAAGGCTGATGAAGTTATCTCACGTGAAATCATACGTAAAATTTCCTTCCAAAGATACAAAATCATGCCTCACATTTTAATTCATAGGCAATATCAAATATTATTTAAAGTACAGAAGCGCTTATGATGTGAAGCAGTCGTTCTGGTGCCAAACGTTTTCAATACACAACTGCGCTTTGAAACAATAAGCAATGAAATTTACACTTTGAATGAAATTCATTCGCAAAAAGGAATACAATATAAAAATGAAATGTTGCAAATTGGACCACAATGAATACTTTGTCATTAAAATGTGGAAATTCTTTATTAATAACACAAAATTTGCTTCAATTAACAGATAATATTTTCATCGAGTAAAACGATGGAAAAATTTGGAAAACTAGAATTTTTGGAGTGAAAGATTACAATAACTGAATTCGTAAATTTTTGTCATCATTTTTTTTTTTGATTTTCATCAATTCCATTATGAATATGCTTTGTTACGAACACATTTTCATCAAATTTTTTGTTTTATTGTTACATTTTTTCTATGGTTAAATTCCCCAATTTTTGTTTTTATTTCTATCCTGAATTTCTTTTTACTACTTGTTTATAGCTTAAATCTTATAAAAGAATTATCCTGCGTACCATAATCATATGCATAATTCATGTATAAACTAGATTTTATGACATAGCTTACAGCAAAACTACAAGCATAATCACTTTCTTTTTTAAAAGAACTATTTTTTTCAAAGAAAATGTAATACTGTTGTAAATATATGAACTTTATAAAGATAAAAAACACTGAACCGGTGTGTTAAATATGCAATAGAATCAAAAATTAATTAATTTCAGGCATATCGTTATCGATCAAAATAAGAATCATTTCAATCAATAAACATTTGTTAAAAAGAAATAAACATATTTACTTCTGTATCATAGAAATCTCTGCTTCGGATTTATAGAAGAATTTTACTTCCTCACAAAAAATTGCCAAAATTTAAAGAATTAAAGAATTAAAAATCGATTAGCGAAAGCTCACACAGAAATAGTATACGAAGCAAAATTTTGTAATGCAACTCACCTAACCTTAAAACTCTTTTACTATTGTTACATAATGTGGTTAGACCGGATGTTGTCATGGGGTACTGTGTAGTTTTTGGTGCATTTGTTGAGTATACCTATCAGTTAAATAAGGATTCAGAAAGCTGTACTGAATCAGATGATAGTAAAGCGATCAAACAATAATAAACCTCATTGTCAAAAATTCTGCAAAATGCAAATTCGGTTTTGGGAAGTGTTTTCTGGCTTTTTCTGTCACTGCAAACCTTGAATGGATCGTCGTCTCCACTTAGCATACTTTTTTTGTTTTCACTTTAAGTGCTGAAGCAACAAATATCTGCAAATCAATTGACATCGAATTTTTGAGTAATTTCCTCATAGCGGTAAGAGGAAGAATATGCCAATCTTTGATTGCTGCTAACATTCGCTAACATTCTAACAGTCAACAATTATATTCTCTATCTTTAAGTCCCCATACACATACGCTTGAATTATCACTTCATTGCATATCCATCAGAGTTCTACGGCAAGTAAATTCCTGATACTGTGAGCTGCCTTTATCGACTTTTTAAATTTATAAAAAACCAATGTGTTTTGTCTAAGATCATGTAATAAAGTCAAAATAAAGACAGCAGTAAATAAATTATTAGAGAAGAAATATAAAGCATGAAAAGCCACTAAAATATAATAAAGCCAGAATATAGGAAACTGTCACGAAAACGAAGCAAATTTCGACAATCTTTCGAAAATTATCATCGCAATGTATTCGTGCTTTAGTTTCATGTAAGCATAGTAACTAATAATTAACACTGCAAACTGGGAAAAACTCTCAAGAAGGTTTAATATTACCAAATTTATTTTTCATGGATTTCAATTTCATGTATTTCTGCAATTCTTTCATTGCTCAACATACTCATAAAAATATAATTGTAAGCAATGAATTGCAGAAATATATCAAATATGTAATCCTCTGACGTTACACTTATTCACCCTATTCTTCGAAATAAGAACAATCCCACCACTACCACAAAGGAATACTTCGATTTCCAAAAGCGTAATTCTTCTTCGCACTCTAGTTTCTTCATCCAAATTAATACACTTTAAGCAAGCTAAAAAACAGATATATATGCATATGTAAACACGGTGCACTCAATCGATATTTACAGTTAGATGATATATAACAGTTCAGTATATAATATATAAATTTTGATCAAAATACAATCAAATCAGTTCATGACAAGTATTTGAGTCAAAAGGTGTAACGGAAATTGTACTTATCATATACAGGACATATCTTAAATTTATGAAACAATTATACCAAGGAATACACAACTACATTACCGAGAAATACAAATTATTTCTTAATTTGTGATTAAGATAAATATAATCATTGTCCGACTAGCATGAAAGCAATAATCTTTCTTATTTTTACATGTAAACATCAATTTTTTAATCAAACACAAGAATATTCTACTTTTGTTGCTAAAGTTATATTGTACATTAACTCCCAAAAGTAACAACAGAAAGCACCATATTTAATATAATAATCCATAAAGCACGATTTTTTTTCTGAGTTCAGTTTTTGAGGAATTCTAATCTAGCACGCATCTCATCATAGTCAACACCATGTCCTTCAGCACCCGCCAACATGCTTTCCGGTTCCACTGCAAGTGTATCCTTGACAGTAGACGGTGCTTTACCCAATTCACCGGCTGTAATTTCATACAGTATCCGATCTACTTCTTCCTGTAAAAATTTTCGAAAATTATTACAAAAGCGCAATCGCAACTTATGCAGCAAACCAAAAGATTTAATGTAAAAATCCTATGTTGAGCTAAACTTTTTTCTTTAACATAACAATCTATCTGGTGTGAAATTGCACTATTACTCTTTCATTTATATGGTAGACAGCATGGATAAACCAGACAGCTTCAATAATTTCAGTAGCAAAGAAAAGCAGATAAATTCAATGCAGAATCGCATTCATTCACTCAAGTGTAACTCATATTTCAAAATTCATAATAAACTTTGCTTATTGCATACAATATAACAGTACCTGCGCCTCCTCTTCAAGTTCTTCCGGTTCTACTGATTCCATGGTTTCTTCAATCATTTCATCTATAATACCTATTTTCATCATCTCTTTCGACAGTTCACGCATTGTTGACATTATTTCAGGTACCTTAAATTAATGATATACTTTATAATATGTGGCTAAATTTTACAACCACACTTAAAAATTAGCACTTCGGAGAGGCCATCAATCTTTTGTCATCGATTTCAAGACTCATCTCAGACTGGTTGCTTTAAAAATACTTCATCTCTAATCGCATATCAACTTCTTTCAATACTAAACACAACCTTCACTAATTGCTGCATATTTCTCATTACATCTGTAGACTGCTGCAACGAACCCGCCATACGAACCGTCGCGAGTTGCTGTTGCATCCCCATAACAACTGAATTGATCTGTGCCTT